CTAACGACCTGCTTTTTGTACAAAAAATTGGGCAGAGGTCCTGCTGGCTCAGCTTCCCACCAAGACCTGCTGGTGCTGACCAAGTGGCTCCTGCCTGTGCACTTAAAGCACAGAGACAAGAGCCTTGCATGGCCATAACAGCACCTAAATTAGCAGAAAGGTTGGTGCACATTTCGGAGACCCCACAAAGATCCTGCCTGGACTGCTGACCAGCATCTTCATCAACATTCAATCCAACATTATTCAAATGCTTCTGTTTAATTTTGGGGTTTTTCCCCCCCCTTTTTCTGGATTATATGGATTAAATTCAGAAAGGAAGGGAAGCTGGGGGGGGGGAAATTCAATTGCAGCAGTAGAAAGGAAACTGTAAACCTCATAAATGTTCACATAGTGAAGAAGCAGCCAAGTCCTAAAGGCTGGTTTGATAAACATGTCAGGGGTTGCCACCACTAGACAACTACTTGATGAGTACATAAATAATGGCTTCTCTTACTTCTCCTCTATTTTCCCATTTCCTACCAGTTGCCCTGGAAACTCCCCCATTGCAGTACTCTCTGGAGCAAAGTCCAAGAGAAAAAAACCCAGCAGCAAAGCCTTCATGACTTCCAAGCTCATGACCAAGCAAAGTCAGAGGAGGATTTCTGTGCAAGCAATCCCTGTGCCAACATGCCTCCTCCCATGTGCTGCCCAGCTCAGCCCCACAGCCCCAGGGATGGGCAGAGACCCCCCCTGAGCAACCCCTGCATCCCACGCCAAGCCCACTGGGCATCGTCGGGTGGCATCACCACCCATCTCCCCACAGGTTATTCATACAAAGGCTGCACAGATGTCTCCTCCTACACTGAGACTGTGTTGCAATTCACCAGCAATTATCTGATATAAAAGGAGCCGTAGGGCTGAGTAACCTCCCACAAGACCCCAGGTGCTTTTCCAACCTGGAATGTCAGCAGCCGCCCCAGAGGGTTACAATTAATTCCCCATTAGGATAAATTCCAATTGGGCTGAGGTAGGAGGAAAGTGCACCAGATACTTTGTTCTTCTGCAGGGAGTTCCTGCAATTAATGGGGAAAAAAATTATATATATATTTTAAAAATAAATAAAAATCCTAAGCCTCATTTGCACTGGAGGCATTAAAAGACCTTTGAAGAGCAGAGTCATGCAGTCCTGAGGATGCCAGACCACACTGGAAATATCTCCAGAGGGTTTTATCCCAGCAAACACTGTGACCTTAGGAGAAGACACAGTTTTCACTCCTCGTGTCCAAGCTTGCAGCAACCAGACTGCAGTGGCTGCTGGTTTGTGTGACCTACACAGCAGGCAGAGCAAGGGAGCACAGCTGCACTCTTATCTTGCTTTCTGTCCCCTATGGTGTTCAAAGGGTCTCTCTGCTACAAAGACAGACTGGAGAGTTGGGGTTGCTCAGCCAGGAGAAGAGAAGGCTCTGAGGAGACCTTAGAATACATGAAGGGGCTACAGGAAAGAAGAGGAGGGACTTTATATAAGGGGATGGAGTGATAGGATGAGGGGTAATGGTTTTAAACCAGAAGAGGGTGGATTTAGGTTAAACATTAGGAATAAATTATTTAATGTGAGGGTGGTGAGACACTGGCTCAGGTTGCCCAGGGAAGTTGTGGATGCCCCTTCCCTGGAAGTGTTCAAGGCCAGGTTTGGCCTCCCTCAAGGATGGGGCTTGGAGCAACCTGACCTAGTGGGAGGTGTCCCTGCCCATGCAGGGGGGTTGAAACTAGATGATCTTTAAGGTCCCTTCCAACCCAAACCAGTCTGTGATGACAGAGCAAGAGAGGCCAGGCAAGAGGCAAGGCCAAGCTGCACACTGCAAACCTGCACCTTTCACCTACGATGCAGAACTGAGAGTCCTTTTTTTACTACATAATTTGCATAAAATGCAAAATGCATGTATTTCTATGCATACATTTAGCAAAGCCTTTATCTTCACAGCTTTGCTAAATTCATTTGCCTGAAAACTTCACACATTTGAGTTGCACACAACCTGTGTTGCAGCGTTCAGAGTTTGGGCATTGCTCTTGGATGCCCCAAATAAGCCACATCCAAGGAGGACAGTCTCTCCCCCAGCCAAGTTATGCCTCCAGGTCACAAACCCATAGATGTCTGGGTTATTTTCTTAAGGCATGAAGGAGCTGGATCAGGGGAAGGGTGGGAGAGCTGGGCTTGCTGCTCCTTACACCTCCCACACTGCCAGGAAATACCCTGCCTGTATGTGTGGCTCAGCTGTTCTCAGTCATTTCCCCTGCACACCCCCAGATACATAAAATATCATATACATATATTATGCGTGTATATAAATACATCATAATTTTTTCAAATATATAAATGCATAGTGTAGAAAATATTTATGCAGTTTATATTAATATACGTATAATAAGTATCTAACAAACAAACATGTTGCACACATATGCACACAGCAAAGGGCTCTTCAGAGGTTGTAGTCAGGAAATGGGAAATGATGGAGCCAGGTACCAGACCAACATCCTGGTGGAGGGAGCCATGCTGGAAGTCTGCACACCACAGGTGGAGCTGAGGATTGCCCAGATCTCGGCCTGTCCCAAGACTTTCCACCATGATGACTTAAATGTGTCCAGAAAGGCTGAGAACTGACCTGTGTCCAGTTTTAGAGTTTCCTTGTGCCTCCTTAGCACCTCCCATCCAAGGCACCTCCACGACATGCCTGCTCCATGGCATTTCTTCAGCTGGCTGCTAAGTCCTCCTCCCAGGACCACTTTTTGTTGCTTAATTTTCAAACCCCATCAGAAAATGTGAGCAGCTGCCAGGATGGAAAGCAGAGCTGTGGGACAGGGCCAGCAGTGCCCCCTGAGGGTGGCCCTCAGAGGCTCTGAGGACTCCAGCATCTACCAGCACCGGATTTAGCTGGGAACATCTAGACCATCAGAAAAGGACAAATCCCCCATTTCCTGTCTGGACTCACTCCAAAGACCTGCTAAGGATAATTTAAAGCCATCAGTTTGTGCTTGCCTTAAGCTATCGATCGAGCCCATGATCACACGCCTTCCTTCCCACCTTGCCAATTCCTGCCAAGGCAGCTTGACAGCAGCCACCACCACTCCCAACACAGAGATGAAAAGAAAAAAAAACACCCCTCACTTGCCAACAGGATGGTACTAGGCTCCACCTCATAAAAAAAGCTTTCAGCAGCCTGGTTTAAGCCAGACACACGAGCCACACTTGCTATTTCTTCATGATGATTTGAAGACATGTTGCAGCCACTGAGAGCTCAATGCTTCATTGCCAGCAAGGGGAAACCCAAACCCACCACTCCCAGTTAAAGCTCGTGCTATTTTGCAATGTATTTCATCTGTCCATGTGTTGAAAAGTTTTAATCCTGTACCTTTGTTTAGTCCTGTAGCAGCAATTTTCAATGCTAGCCAGAAAGGAAAAACAGCACCCTAGTTAAGGGAAAGCACTCTGGAGCTCAGTATACAAAGTGACAGTATTATAAACCAGAAGCTTTTGTCTCATTAAGGTTTCCATTTGTAAAGAGAATAACAAGGGATGAGTTATTTGGAAGCTGAGGTTTTAAGGACATTGATAACATAACAGGGCAAAAGAAATGCTGTGACTATGGGACCTTTGCTCAGGAATGACTCAGCACAGCAGCTGCATCCTAGAAAATTAATATCTCAGCCCCTCCAAAATGCCTGCAAAGCCTTTCAGAGCTTGCAAAAACCAACCCTGGAAGCCCCATCAGCCATGTCATCTGCTCATCACTGTGGGGATTAACACATGCCCCCCACTCCAGCTCAGTGCAGGGACCTGCCCTGCAGGGAAGCATGCCCCTCACCCCTGCTGCAGAGGGCTCCAGCAGCAACTGCAGAGATTAAAAATCAATCAATCACATTTTGGCCTCAAAGCTAAAGGAGACAGATCCATCACCACCCTCAGACCCCCAAAAAATCTCTTCACTCCCCCACGGGCACCCTGAACAGTCCCTGCTCCAACCCAGGTGTCCCCGAGCAGAGGCAGGTGTTAAGGAGCTTAACGCAGGATCATGTCAAGTAACAAACACCTAGTATTTATTAATAAATTAGTACACTGGAAGGCAATTTTTCAGTTCATTCCCTCTTCCCCCACTTCCCACCCCTTCCCACAGGGCAGCACATGCCACCCTCATATAATGATTTCTTCAAATTGAGCGTAGTACAGACTGTTTGTTACGGGAGCATAATAGTTGCAAATATAATCAGACAGATTCTTACGATGCAGCTTCTCCCACCCCCACCCCCTTATTTATTTTTTTCCTCTTTTAATAAAAAGTGAAGTGTGATTTGGAGAGACTATTAAGACCGGGTAAGGTCTCTGGAGAACCTATCGGCCACGTCTGTATAAAAAACAAGAGACACGAGTGTAAAAGCAGAGCTTTGTTGAAGTCTTACAGCACGGGGAGAGCAGGAGCGCCGGCGGCCACCTTCACCTCCCCACATCCAGCACTGGCTTCCTTCAGGGCCCCGCCACCCCTGCACGTAGCAAGGCAAGGTAACTCCTTACACTTGACTAGAAGGCAAAGGACCGTCTCATCTATGGCCTTGAAGGTTGGTGGGACTGACCCTTCTCTCTGCAGCCATGGCGCTTCTGCTTTAGCTTCTAGGAGCGCGATGCACTGTCCAGGTGAAAAACCATACAATAAATAACCGTGCTAGTAAAATCTGAGCAATGGATGTGAGCCATACCACAGGGCATTTTTTTAAAAAGGAAAAAGTCAGCTCAGGTGGGAAGCTTAGCTGTGTTAAGAGACAGTAACCAGCAACAATTGGGTCGGTGTTTGGTTGGTTTTTTCTTTGCGTGTATTTGCCATTTACCACTCTGAGGCAAACAGAGGCAGTGGGAGATGGGTCACTCCAAGAGACAGCTTGGACAGAAGAAGTGGGTTACAGAGCCATCCCCAATTCAACGTGTTAAATTACACCAGATTTGTGGTCTTTTAGTTTGTTAACTGCGTTTTTTCTTTAAAGTGCATCGACTGATCTGATTGGAATGAGAACAAGGAGAAGAGAGGCTCGGGAAGGAGGCAGAGGGTGCAAAGACTTGGACTGAGCGATAGAGTTAAGGTGGAGGGGTGCAATGCTGGCAAACTGCCCCCCCTCCAGAAACCAAGGACACCTCAACGAAAATACTGGCCATATATTCTACAACAAAACCTGCCCGCGTATTGTCGGTCATCTTAACGAGTGCCAAGCTAGCTCTAGCAGATATTCAGAGTGCGTGGTGACCCAGTGCCTACAGTAAGTCAGGAAGGTGGCTATAGACAGAGTCCAGGAGGGTCTGGCTGGCTTCCTGGCTCTTGACTCCAGCGATCTCAAATAGCCTGTCCAGCTTGTCTTCGGCTTGTGGGATCTCCTCAATCACGTGGAGCTCCTCAGGGTTCAGGATGTGCAGCATGTCGTCGAAGATGGGCTGCAGGTCGCAAGGGTCCAAGCGCACCTGGCGCAGGACAGTGTCCTTCTTTTCTGTAGGAGGAAAGGAGAGGGTGGTCAAGAAACCCCTCAAGAAACCTCTTCTAACCAGGGCTTGTTCTCCTTGGAGACCTTGGTCCGTCTCTGACCAGCTCTGCAGAGGGACATGTCACCAGGAGAATCAAGGGAAAAGGTGGAGGGTGAAAAGTGATGGGAAGGTGAGAAGGCGGAGAAGCCAGAGCTGCTGAGGAACCTCACCCAGGATCCCACTAGAGCAAACACAGCATCTATAAATGCTGGATGGCCAATATGGAAAAGCGAGGGCAGCAAGGGAGCAAAAAAAGCTGAATTCTGCTCTTCTGAGTTGTGTTCTTTGGGTCTGCTTCATTTCTGCACCTGAGTAGATTGACTGAGCTCAGTATTTCACATTCATCAGAAGTTAAAGAACGTTAATTGCAGCAATTTAAATGCAGTAATTTAAACCCCCTCATAAAAGAGGGGTGACTAATGGTGATCTACATCTCAAATCACACACTGAAGCAAGCAGGACTAAGGGAGACAAAAAAAACGAAAATTAATATTGAAATGACATTTTCCTGGTTTCATCTCATGCAATAATGCACAGGGCCAAGACAACAGCTAGAAGTCAGGAGACACCCCCTACAGACATCCAGGAATGCTACAACTTCTCTGGCAGCACTCTGAAGAGTTACAAGACCTCATAAAGCTGCTTTCCCCTCTCAAATCTGTATCATCTTTGCTAACAGGATATTCTGGGCTGGAACAAGGATGCGATAAACGTATCCTGGAGAGCCAGTTTTCCCAGTTATTTACTGTAAAGATCCCACGTCGGGCAGCTCTGCCACGTGTGCTGACTGCAGGGGACAAGCTATGACATCCCTCCGGCCCTCCCACCCTGTCTCCAGGCTGATTTCTGGTACCTTTGGTAATAAAAGAGCCTGTCCGGCTGAGCGCGGAGGAGCCGCTGGAGGTGGAGTCGCACCGCAGGAGGGGCTCCGCTTCGTCCACGAAGAAGCACTTCTTCTCTGAAGGAGAGGGCTCCACGGTGAGGACAGCAGCCTCGGGGGGCTTGGGGCTGGGGTTGGGCGCAGGGCTGAGCGGGCTGGGGCTCACCGGCAGCGCCAGTCTGTCAGGTTCCAGCTTTTTGGGGAAGAAAAGACAGGGAAAGTTAACTTGGGAGGGGGATGCTATGCAACGGGCTCAAAACCATCCCCATGGGGATTAGTGGCGGTTTTCAACAGGCCCCAGCCCGTCCTTGGAGAGCACTCCCTGTTATTTGGGTGTTCTCATCTTCCCAGGGGACCCACTGACCCAGAACGGGCACAGGAGGTGACCTAGGGTAGACATAAATCAAGCTGGCATTTAGCATGTCAGCATCCAAGAGGCAGGGGGGTGAATGCAACCTGCGCTCTTGGTAGGATCAGCCTCACAGCCTCAGCACCTGGATGGCACGTGCAAACACAGCAGAGCATCTTAACTTTCTTCTCCTTCTGACCCCCAGGTTATCAAAGCCCTAAGTACCACTCTTAGGGGCTAAGGATGATGACCACCAAGCACGTAAGCTCCCCTAAAAACCTGCTCCATGGTTATCACTTGCAAAAAGCAAGTCCTACCCTGGCTCCAGGCCTCCAACCAGCAGAGAGGCTGCAGGGTGAGAGCTGAGATCCCTCAGGGATCTCCACTGCAGCACGCACCTCTCAAAGAGTCTGGTAACACTGTGAGTTAATGATTTATTTGCCCTGTTTCACCCTTGCTCCTGTGAGCACCCCATTAAAGTGTGATGGGGAAATCCATCCCACCTGACTCTGAGTCCATGGCTAGAAAGAACAAGCAAGGGCTGGCACTGACCACAGTGTCATCCATGTGCCTTTGCCTTTTGCTACCCTGATCTGAACCAAGTACAGGAGGTTGACCCCAGGGTCCTGAAGATACAGGGAGCAGGACACACTGTGATGGCAAGTGGCACAACTTGGGTGCCATCATGAACCCACTTCCTAACTTGACCATGTTCTGCATCTTCCTTCTTGCACCTCCTTCCTACCTGCACAGCAGCAGCCAACATTACCTACCAGCCCCCATCTCTCAGCATCCCCTCAGGCTGCAAACCCTGAGCAGAGAACGTCTGGTTTCTGCTCTCCACAGGGATAAGAAGCTTGGGACAGTCTCCCTACATCCCCTGGCTGGCAGCTTGGGCACCTCTGGAGGTCACCCCCAGGCAGATTGCTCTAACGATCACCTAATATTTAACTTCTTCCAAAACCCCACATCCCTGCTCAAACTGCCAAAGGACAGATCTGTGAGGCCTATCTGCAACCCACTCTCCCAACAGCATTTTTGAAGCCCTGTTTTCTTTTCTGCAGAGGCAAGACCAGCCAATTCCTATTCACATACTTTTGCCTACTACCCAGGGATTAAAATGCAAAATTCAGATTTCAGGCTGTGGAACAGGGAGCTACTGAGCCACCTCCATGGCAACATGGATGTGCCTGCACATTCCTCATCCGTGTCGAGGAATTCACCACCCACAAATCACATGTCTGCTGAGACGCCCATTAGTTCACATTAAATTAACATTGAAGCCTGTTCTTAGGAGCAATAAAAGGTTGGTTTCTTTGCCCCCATTGAAAATAAACAGGGGAGGATTTGTTCTAGCTCAGCACATTACGCAACCGCCACGTTAAAAATGAAAGTCAGCTTTAATTTTTAGTTAAAGGAATCTGCCTTCTCCTCTGAAAATCCCCTTCCAAGGGGGAATCGACAAGAACCAGCCTATTGCCATTAACAGGGAAAAAGGAAGGACCAGGACAGCAGCTGGCTGCTTTCCAAATTGCAACATGCTCCAATTTCCCCTTTGAGGAAAAAATACAACCACAATGCAAATAGGCTTTAGGGGTTTATTTTTCCCCCATGCAACTCATCTATGTCATATCCAGCCACAGACTCAAATCCTCACTTCCAAAAAGGGACCTGATGGCCAAGCAGCAAGTACAGGGAGGGCAGGGAGCAGCCGGCTGCCCCAGCTCTCCTTCCCAGCAGAGGGGAAAAGCCCTTCCCAGAAGCGTGCAAGTCATTTGGAGTTTAATTAAACAGCTGCTAAGGCAAGCTAGGGAAAAAAGGAAAAAAAAACCACCCGAGGTTATTTGACTGTAGGCGTCCCGGGAGCCCAAAGCTTTCCAAATAGCTGAACGACTGCGAGAGCTTATGAGGCAAAGCAAACAGGATGCTCAGATGTGTGTTAATGTTTAAACCACGGGAAGAAAGCGAGTGGGAACAAGGGTTTTGAAAGGCCAGGGAGAGCAAAAGGTTGCTGCGAGGTGAAGACTGTGGAATAGGTGTAAAAATATGCTATTTATAGCCTGTGACTCATTTGCTTGAAACCACCTTGGCCATTCCTATTTTTAAGGCCAGTGGTGCTCAAGCAAAACCGAGTGCTGGCTGGAAAAAAGCCTCCTCTGAAGCCCTTTTGCCTTTCCAGAGCCACAGAGTTTCTCACCTTTCCGTCGTCGTTGCAAGGCTCCTGTGCCTGCCACTGGGGCTGCATCTGCACCTGCACAGACAGACACATGGCAGACAGTCAGACACAAGGACCAGCATAGCAAACCAAAGGCACTGCAGCAGCTCTGAGGCATCAGCAGCCTCCCGTGCCCGGCCAGTGGAGCCAGGGCACTCTGCCAATTGAGTATGAAATTTTGTTTTGAGCATTGCAGCAAGAGGTTTGCAACACCAAAAAAAAAAAAATCCTAAAAGCTCCCTGTAGGCTGTGGCTCAGGCACAGACATCCACATGGATCCCAGTGCATGTGCACTAGAGGATGCTTAGAGGGTGCTCTGAGCAGCTGAGGGCATCTGAACGTCTTTGCTACAAGGAAGAAAAGGGCACAGAAGGGGATGGGTGCAGGAGATGACAGAGGCACGGTTTGTTTTCTTTTCACAGCTGCTGCCAATGGCTCTGTTTGAACTGCTTGGTCCCATTTTCTGCCTTTGTTTTACTGTACCACAATAAAAGCTCAGCTCAGACAAACAGAAACTGCAGCTGCTGCTCTAACGTTGGGAAGGAGCAGCCATGGGCATGAAAACCCCCTCCCTTGGGCAATGCTTCCCTGGAATTCCTCCTGTAGCAACCAGACAGTAATAAAAGCCAGTGGCAGGTTTGGTGCTGCATCAGCCTGGTGGCTTTGTGCAGCTGGGCTTGAGTCAGGTTTTCTTGCCCCAACATAAACATGACTCAAACTACTGCTGATTTAAAAACAACAACAACAAAAATAACCTAATAAATAAAAATATATAGTCAGCAGGGAGCTGGGTTCAGAGAAGCAACCTCAGCAGAGGGTGGCTGCACACCCTCTCAGGATCAGGGATAAATTTAGCACCAAAGCCAGCATTTCCCGGTCTCCCTGCTGAAAGATGACACCCAGCTGACTCCAGCCCTATTCCCAGGTCTGACATGCCTCTGGAGGGGATGTGGTGGGAGAAACCCTGGCAGACAGGGCAGGGTGGGCTGGGCCAGGCTGCAGCCCTGCACAGACAATGCTGTGGATGCAGGGTGGTATTGGTGGGGGATGCTCTCACTATGGTCCTCACAGGCATAGGGGTGATCCACTTGGCTGAACAGCCCCCTGGTACATGTGGTGTTTGGGGTTCCACCTTCAGGGCAGATCAGACCTTGAAAGGTGAAGACCTTGAAAGGCCAGGCCACCAGGTCTCATTGAAATAGCAGAGAGACACAGTGATCATCTGCAGGTGCTGCAGAGCAGGAGGCAAACCCTTCACCAGGATGGGAAGGGCATGAGAGGGTTCAGCACTGTGAAGTGGGAAAGCCCAGATGTCCACATTGTCCCCTTCACCTCACAGATCAGGTTTCAGAAGACTGCTCCACACCATCTCTGTGGTGGTGCCAGAATCACAGAATTATTCTGGTTGGAAAAGACCTTTAAGATCATTGCGTCCCTCAACACAAGGCAGCCCTGGAGAAGACCAAGTCAAGCTTCACGTGACCCAGGATAGGCAATATCAGGTCTGGGAAGTGTTCAGACACCAAAACCAAAATGCAATTATCTATGGAGAAAGCAGCTCTTCCCCACCAGCCCCAGCCATTCGTGGGCCAAATGCTTCTCCATGCAGGAGATGGTGCCTCCAGGAGGGCTCCTGGTGGCTTTTCCTTTCTATGGATTTGCCCACCCATTTTTTCAACTCAAACCATGATGAAGACTCATTGAAGTCATGATAAGGAGTTTCCAATATCAACTACAGACTGAGTACATCAATACCAAGTTTGGCTTGTTCTGACACCACCATCTTCTAGCTTCACCTTGGGCTCCTGAGCACAGTATACTGTGAATACACACCCAAGATGTGGTTACCACAGCAGGGAAACCTCAATTATAACTGCATCTACTATAAAATTGGTATTTTTGCACTTATATTTGTATTACTTCATAAATCAACTAAGTTTTTGCTTACTGCCCTTTCTCCAGCCTAGTTCAAACCCAGCCTTGGTTTGGTGAAAACCAACTCATGGTTTAGAACAAACCTGGAAGAAAACAGTGATGCCTAATCCAGCACGACCTAACCAACCCTAGCTTCCCTGGGGCTTTGGGCAATTTATTCTACAGCTTTACACCTCAAATAAAGCCTGATGCAAGCCTAGATGGAAAATTTACATGCAATTTTTACTTTTTTTCCTAGCTGGGAAATGCTCTCAGACCTCAGCCCCAGGCTGGGGAATCCACCCAGCAGCTTCACCCTCACTCTGCTGCCAACGTGTGAGGTTAATGCAGTGCAAAACTAATTGCTAATTACTGGGCCCAACCCAGTTGTGCTTTGCCAAAAGAGGAAATTAAGGGGATGGGCAGGAGCCGTTTGGGCTGGATTTGGGGAACACTGCTTCAGGCTCTTGACCTCCAGCTGCAGGTTTTAACCTGAAAAAGAGGAAGAAAAGGAACCAGAAGGCACTGCCACAGCTGTGTGCCTGGACATGGGGCTGCTTTCATATCCTCTTCCCCTCCAGCAGCCCCCAAAACCCCACAGCTTAACCTCACACCAGACCCAGCCCTGGCATATCTGCTGATTCATGGGATTATCCACAGCATGCAATTAGCCATGGACCTGTATCTTCTTGGGCTCAAGGCTGCTGCTCCCCACTCCATTTTCAACATCTCCCTATTAGTTTATCTGGTTTTTAGCTTTGCTGAGGCTGAGCTGCTGAGTGCCACGAGCAAGGCTGTTTGCTTCCCCTCCATCTATTCCCTGAAGTATTTCAGCCGAGGCCAGGAGAGACATAAATAAAAAGATAAGAGCTTAAAGCATTGCTCACAGTAGGACACTTACGAAAGCAAACAGCCATTCTAGCAATGCCCCAGGCCAGCTTGGGGGAGCACAGACACGCCTCAGTATCTGCAAAATGCTGTTACGCACCCCCAAAAAAATCCCCATTACCCAGTGCCTGCACTACACTGAACTTCGCTGCTTTTAACCCCAAAGTGGAAAACTGTAATTTGCTGTGATGGCAGTGAAAAACCTCTCCTTTGCCCCCTTCCCCCCTATTTTTGTTGTTGTCAGCACCACTAATTCGGGGTGTGCCTGTGCTTGCTCACCAGCGCCCAGGCTCGTGCCCTGCCGCCCGGCGAGCTGCCTGCAAGGGCAGAGATCCTGCAAACCTCAGGCTGGAGAAACGTTCGTGGCCTGAGCCGACCTTTAACGGGAGCCCTGAGAGTTACATGCACCCTGAAAAACCTTCCCACCGCTACTGTGCTCACCACATTTTCTGGATCAGCTGCAAAAAAGAAAAAAAAAAAAAGCAAAACAACCCCGAGCAAAGAGATTCAGAGGGCTAATCTGGTTTTAACCTAAATTCATTCAGCGTGGTGCAAAACCAGCCTAATCTCCTGCAGCTGAAAAAGCCGATGAGCCTTCAGCGGAGCTGTTCCCTACTTGAAGGAAAACGTTCCTGCCATGTACTGTAACACTCCAGACTCCCATAAATTCCCCTGCTCCTATCAAGGGTTATAAATATTTGGATTGCAGAGCCCAAAAGGCTGCTGTGGGAGTGGGAGGCTATGAGAGAGGAGCTTTGGCTCTGCAGGTTTCACAGGGTAAAGACAAGACACCAGCTCAAGGGACGAGGATGTGATAGTAGGTGGGATGGGAAAGGGAGGCTACCTGGGTGCAGGGTACCAAGGCGCTGTCCCAGAGCTGGATCACCCAGTAACACCATTTTTACCTATGAGTTGGAGATGTTAGTGCTTTCTTATTATACAGAGTCATGAGGAGAAATGGAGGAGCACCCATTTACATCCAGGCATGACAGGCAGGGTCAAAGACATCATGGATGGCACAGCCACCCACGCATCCCTCCTGGGCTCATCTAGGAAACACTGGCAAGTTTGGATGCTCACTGCTGGCTTGGGTCACCCCAAAGGCATCACACTGCTTGCTGCAGGGAGGATGAATGTATTTGCATTGCTTAAGAGAGTCCTCCTTTCCTCCACAGCACATACACAAAAAATAGCTCTTTTTATTATTTTTGGTTCATTCTGGTTTTTCTCAAGACAGCTTCTGCAGGGCCAGTTGCTGAAGAGGTGCAGTTCTGTACCCATGGCTGCCACCAGTGGGGTGACCTGCTCCTTTGGATCAAACTGGAGCACCTCTGCTATGAAGACAGGCAGAGTTGGGGTTGTTCAGCCCGGACAAGAGTGGGCTGCTTCCAGTATCTGAAGGGGCAACAGGAAAGCTCAGGAGTGACCTTTTACAAGGGCTTTTAGTAAGAGGACAACGGGTAATGGTTTTAAACCGGAAAAGGGGAGATTTAGATGAGATACTAGGAAGAAATTCTTTAGTGTGAGGGTGGTGAGACGCTGGCACAGGTTGCCCAGGGAAGTTGTGGATGCCCCATCCATGGAAGGGTTCAAGACCACATTGGATGGGGCTTAGAGCAAACTGGTCTAATGGGAGGGGTCCCTGCCCATGCAGGGTGGTTGGAACTAGGTGATTTTTAAGGTCCTTTCCAACCCAAATTCTATGTTTCTATGAAACTTGTTCCATACAAAGAGAAACCACCTCAATTTGTCTGCATTTGGACAGACAAACCACTGAGAGCCAAACGTGGATTAGCTCTTATTAAGGGCTTTCCAACTAGCACAGATTAAAAGAACCCTAAACAAAACGACCTCAACGCCTGGCCCTGACATTTGGTTTCCTAGCTGCCTGTGGTCTGGACCACCATGATGCAGCTCAGCTGCCAGCATAAGGCTCCAGGGATTCATTTTCCCTTGTGTAAGCTGCTTCTCACAGCCTCCTGCATCCCTCCCAGGGCCATTCCATCACTGCCTGCATCCACAGGGCAGGAGCTAGTCAGGTTACAGCAGGTAATACCTTGCAGAAATGCAGTGTGCTGTGATGCTGAATCTGCACCCTGGGGTGCTTTTGAGCTTCAACATCCTACACGCTACTTCATGACTGACGGTGGACCTTTGGGGTGGGAGGGACCACAGAGGAACAGCCAACACCTAAAGCTAAAGATTCACCTTTGCTGAAACCAGCCCTGCTTCTCATGCAAACCCACCTGAACATAACTCCCGAAAATATTAGCCAACCAACTTCACTAATTTCTAGGAAAGCAAGTGGAAGCCACAGGGAATCACCAGGCTCCAGGTGCTGCTGAACACTGGGGAATACAACACACTGTTCCAAAGAACAAACAGGAAGATCCTCCAGGAGAGCTGGTCACCCAGTCCAAAAATAAGACTTGCCTACAAGTATCCAAGAGATTTGGGTTTGCTCATTCTCCAGAGTATTTGAGTGCTGCATTTTCAGAGTTATGGGCACGTGCAAGGAAACAGCTTGAGTTTACTCCATCGTCGGGAGTCCACCATCCCAATGGGTCACCCAATAAACCCTGTTCTTGAAGCTACCACCTGCATTTCTGTGCTATTTGAGAAGCATCTGATAGCTTTGGCTGAAACAGTGCAGTGATGAGGAACACTGAGCACTGCACACCCACATCTGGTAATCAGGTGTTGTGCTGACGAACAAGCCCCACGTCCTAGCCCAGCACTTTGCTGTAGCCTTCAAAGTCAAAGCCGTTAACTAGGAGGAAAGAGGTTACTACCTGCTCCAGGAGAGCAAGAGGACAATGTGGCTTTCTGGGACACTGCACACACTAGAAACTTTCATTCACATGTGCAAAATGACCATTTTCTCTGCCTCTCCTTTTCTTAACCAGAGCTGTCTCTCAGGCTTTTAATTTCATTCCTTTCCCTCTTTGATATTATATCTTGAAGCATGGTAAGAAGTAAGAAAGCTACACACTGTGTAAATACCAGGAGCTGGAAGGAAGAGAACAGCAGCTAAATGGGAAGAGGAGGGATTGAGAAGCTGGCAAAGTGAGCCTATCCAAAATTTAGGCAGGATGCACATGGTGATGCCTGGCACACAACTGACTCTGGGTGTCTCAAAACCAGGATTCCTGCTAACACGTGGAAACCTGTGACTTCACACTACAGTTACTAGGGATCAAGATGTTTGGTGCAATAAACGAAATCATGCAGGACACGTGACACATGGTTGCTCTTATGAGGGAAGTCTGGGATAGCTGAAATCAGACCTGGGAATCCACTACCTTGAAAAACACTCTGCCCCACAGTCTTTGCTATACATGAAGGTCCAGCTTGCCAGAGCCCCACCAAATGCCCATGGAGGTGTAGGGGGAAGAGCCCTCCCTCAACTACCCTCACCTCCATCCATGTGTTGCCACATTGGCTTCCACATTCAGAAGAAGCCCCATCCATCAACTTTATGAAAACTTCCAGAAGACCACCAAATTCTCAGAGCCAAAAAAACCAAAAAAAATACTGACAGGTAAGGCAGAGATGGCCAAAACAAACTGAAAAGATCACCAAGGCACCTTCTGATGACTTAAACTCAGCTATGACTCTGCTGCAGGATACTCTGCAGCAATTTCTTTATTCTCCCAAAATACAGGCCAGTTTTAAAGGCCAGAGCTGCTGCAGAGGAGAACAAGTGGAGGTGACCACACATGGAAACCCAACGATGCCATCACAACATTGGAGGAAGCGACCCGCTGCTCTACAACGCTGAGTGTTGAAGGGCCTTCTCAGAAAACCCTGGGGGTTTAGCAGGAACATTTAACAGCAAGTTGAAAGGGGGATGATTTTTCCTCCCCGACACAAGGGCTCAAGCACCAAGCTCTCCTGGCGACCTCCAAAGACACCCAGAAACCACAACACACGGGACTCAAGAGCTTGTCCAAACTCGGACAAGGTTTTGAGCGACCCTCGGCAAAGCTTCGCTGAAAAGCAACATTAAGGCTTAAACTACGAGCCCCAGAGGAGCTCTGAGGGGACGTGGGAGTTACCGGTGTGGTGTCCTCCATCAGGCCTCGGATCTTCTCCACCACGTCGTTGCGGCGGTGCTGGCGCAGGGCGCTGATCAGCTGGGCCAGGCTGGCCTCGGGCCCGCGGATGGTCCAGTGCTGCAGGGCGGCGTAGGCGCGCTCGTGGTCGGCCGCATAGCCGTTGGAGAAAGCTGCCACCTCCCGCTCGCTGGCGTTGCAGAGGAACTGGTAGATGTCCTTCCACTGGCTCCCCAGCTGGGCTGCCACCAGCTTCAGGATGTCGATACCTGAGGGGCAGAAGCGCTGCAGGTGAGGGGCGGGCACCAGCAGCCTCCCGGCATCGCAGAGCTAAGCTTCAGCAAAGCTTCTCCCAGCCCCGCACAGCCGTGCTTTGGGGGGTCTTTGCAGATTTTATTATCATCATTAAAGACCTTCCACAGCTTGCCCAGGCTCCAGGGAGCTCTGCAGGCAAGCAGCATCTGTAAGATGCTCAACACCTGCTAGGTAAATAAGGGGTGACAGACCCACAGGTTGGTCCAACTGAGACACATGCTCTAAAATTAATCATGTTCATTTAACAGTAAAATTCCCTGTGCTCTTCAGCACAGGAAAAGCCCTGGTTCTGAGCCACTGCATGGCTGCAGGAGCAGGGGAAATGGCAACCGTGCTCACCCATGTACCTGCAAAGCCACCACTTTGAACAGAAGCTGGATTAAAAGGTGAGTCACCAAAGCATCATTATAAAGACAAACATTTCCATAACACAGCACCTATGATCTCATGTAGAGCCATTTCTAGTACAGACTGGTGGGATGACTGAGTTACAGGACAGGTTACCCTGCACAAGGAGAGTGTTGGGTGAATGGAAGATCTTCTACAGCATCTGAAGAACAAAAAAAAGGCAGAGCCTCTCCCAGAAAAGTCCTTGAGACACGTTGGTTCAATACGGTGAGGGTTTCCTGCCTTTAGCTTTGGCAGCAACGCAAACAGCACACTCGTCCTTCCATCGACTCAGAGGTCATGAGCTAAACCTTCAAATAAAGCCATAATAGCTAATTAAACCTGTTCAATCAAACTGAGTAATGCCTTGTTTCAACCCACCACATGGACCATTGGTTGATGTAGGTGAGCTGCAAAGAGGTAACCACACCTTGGGGCTCCTGGCGAGCCAGCACACCCCCAGTGCTACAGGGATGGTTCCTCCTTCCTTCTGCAGCCACCACAGCAGTGTCAGCAAGACCAGCTGCTTGTGGAGAATTGTCATAGTCAGGGTATTAACTGCTGGCCTAAAATCTAACAATTTCTAATGCAGTTTAGATAAAACTCCCAACTGCACCTTCAGGTCACAGCCCCAATAAAGCCAGGTAGACACATACATATATATACAAATTTTAAAACTATACAGTCTGATATAGATATATTGATATATTTTTGTATGTATGTAGAAACCATACAGCCTGATATAGATTACTGGAATCTTTTTATATATGTATCTAAACTCTACAGCCTGATATATATGTAATCTCCTTTTTTATACACATGTATATATACACAGATATATGACATACAGATTTTATATATCTCTATATGTCATATAGATATTTTATGTATGTGTGTATAAGCACATATATACACATTAAAAACTCAATACAGCCTCATATAAATATTTCTGACCTACACCCTTACTACTAAAAAAAAAAGCTCATCAGGACCTGCTATACATAGACTTCAGTTTTCACTTCTGAGGTAGATAATGTAGCCATGACCCCAGGGAACTCAGAGCATCTGCAGCAGGTGTTGAGCCTGCTCTACAGTAAACACCAAAGTACACACTGTGTTTTGCATATCCCTACCCTCCTTCCACCACAGCCACCAAACCTCCCTCCCCAGCTGAATTACAGCAGTGGGCGTGTCCTATCTCACATGGAGATGTGAGATCGGTGGTTCTTCTACCAACGCCGTGTGAGGGATGCAGCCCTCCAAAAAGCAACCACAGAGCTTGGTTTTAACTACAGAGAAGTTTGGAGGGGGAGGAAAAAACCTTTTTCATTATTCAAAGTATACCCAAGACAAGAAAATATTCTTCAGCATTAAGGAACAAGAAAAGGCTGCAAATACACTACTGAGATTTATGATGTGGCTCATTATCCAAGGCACAAAAATATGTTATTGCCCATCACATTTCAACATCATAGCAGGAATCAAGCTTTTTAACTCCCCTTGTTAACTCAATCAAAGACAAGACAAATTCCTCTCCCTCGATGCCTCTGTATCCATCCAGGCTGGCTGTCAGTCCTGTGCAGGAAGGACACACAGCCCAGTTCATGCTGACAGCCAAGCCCTGCACCTTCAGACATCATATACCCATGTCAGTAAGAAGCCCAAAAGCTAACTCATGTTTGGAGTCAGATCCTTTAAGCCAGCAATTTCAACTGGTTTTGGCATAAAACCATCAGAACACTAAGTTTATGCAGCCAACACTTTATTTTATCACTCAACCCAGGGAAAAAAAACCAAAACAACTAATCCCTGACTTTAAGGGTAGAAAAAGCTCTGCAAAGCTTTTGCACCAGGGTAACAATAGTAATGCAAAGAGGGACGAGCCAGTCTGGTGCTGCCCATTATATATCTATATGGAGAGACATCCCAGTGCATAAGTTGTTACTTGGTGCCAAAGTCACTGTCTCAGTACATAAGTCATGATCTCAAAGCTTTTTCTACCTTTGTATTCAGGGATTTATTTTTTTTTCTGGGTGAAGTGATATATGGATTTAAAGATAATGCTGCCCATTTTTACATATATGTATATAAATATAAAATTCTGTCCATTTCATACACAAAATGAGCAGAACAAGGTGCTCTCAAGAATGCTGTCCTGTGATGAGTCAAAGTGTTACAAGAGGTAGGAGCTTTGCCCACTCCCACGCACATCAGTTATACAGAAGAATTGAAACATAATTTGCTGGTTTACGACCTCTGTGTTGCACCATCTAGTCCTGCCAGGAAAGGAAAATCCCATATATTACCTGCTCCCATCTATGTATTCAATGCTGATAAATCCCAGCATTTACGGCTGCTCTACTGGTGATAAAAGCTTGCAAGCTGGTCACAACTTGATTTGCACCAGTTTTATACGGTGGCACAACATTTACATCCTAGTGTTCTTGCACAAGATTTATGACAAAGCGCTCGTGCTGCTACTGACATTTTCAAGTTTAGTATATATTTAATCTCACCGTTCCATAAAGTGGCCCCATAAACATGTTTATATCCCTTGGCAATAAGATCCCAGGGCACGAGAATGCACCAGGCAGCAGAGGGCTTAATGGCGCGTAATAATCTTTGGAGAACAAATGTTCCATTAAAAATGAATTTGGAAATGTCTACCTTAATACTATAAGAACCTTAAACTCATTTTCTTGCAACTATTAAATGAATTTAAGCCCCATATGTTTGCTACATCCACTACAATATTGTGCAAACAAAACCCCAGAGAGATAGAGAAGAGACACAGACGCGAGCGCAGATTTGGCTCCAGTCGGTTAGAAAACCACTGCTCTCTCTGTTCTTGAAAAATAAGATTAAAACCATGACACGACAAGTTACAGCTGCACGCTGCCAAGTATTACTGCTCAAGCCATTCACAGTAACTTAATTCACTTGTTCAAAACTAAAATAAGATGCTAATGCTTATAATAAGCTTACAGTTCTACTATTTCTATATTTTCAGGAGCCCTGCAAGTTACTCTGCAGAGCACTAGTAGTACCAGAGCGTTCTGCTGGGATAGGAAGGTGCCCACCATTGTGCATGGAGAGAAAAACCCCAACTCCACCTTAGGTCCTAGGTCCTCTTCAACCGCCAAACCACTTGAATATTCTCCCACCATGCTCATCTGCAAGCCAAGGCTTGAGATGATGCTCAAAGCCCTCCAGACCCCAGCAATCCCTAATGAAATGGTTAAGCTCAGGAGGACAGTGCTTTAACTCACCTGTTTCATGCTTCCCACGCAAGGCTGGTCACAGCCATGTCAGTGGGACATTAAAGCTGCTCTGAGCTTGCAAATACCAGATAGAACAGCCCAAGTCCTCCTCCTGTCTTAACATGGGCCACAGGAACAGCCTGGGAGAGCTGCCACCACCCTGCAGGTAATGCAGAAGGCACCACCACCCTCTTCATCATCACCAATAGGGACCATCACCATTTGCTTGCCTCAGACACTGGAATTAAAGAGGAGCCCGTGCTATGAAACCCCCAGGGTTGCATTCAGCAGAGCCGTGACTATCCCAGAGGAGGCAACAACAGCACGTGAAGGATCTATAAAATCCACGTATGTCTTGGGTACCCAGGCAGGTGGCACTTCAATCACCACCATCTAAACATTGCAATTTTCTAAATGTAGTGATAGGCTACTTCTCATAAATACCTAGTATTTTGAAGTGGTGATAACCTCAGAGCAATCAAGAATTCCTCCTCAAGCCAGGACAAGGCCAATATGTGGTGCACAGGCAAATGAGAAGCCCAAGGGTGGACATACACACACAGAATGATGGGTACAGTGAGGCATGTTGACAGCCAGAACAGACAGAGACTTGGCTGAGCTTTAATGACTCTCTTAAGCTTGTTCTGGATAAGCCTCACTCCTCTACCATAGCCCTGCTATTTCCAGGTTGGACATGAATCCAGTTCTCAAGTGTTCGTTTGGCCTCAAGCAGGACAAGAAGCCAGTGTGGTACAGGGCTATGACCAGCAGTGCTGGCAAGCTTACACACCATACCTGCAAGAAATCATTTCTCTTCTCTGCTATTACTTTTTCAGATCTTCAAGCAGACTCAAGAGAAGTGGAAGAGCTACCCTGTCAAAAGGCTACACCCAAGCACCTGGCAGCAGATACAGTAAAGTCTAACCACAGCCTAGCCACAGAGCAGCTTCAGTTCCTTCCTCTCTCCACCCTCTCTCAAACAAAAAGCAACCATTATTTTCATTTTTAGGGCTCAAGCGAAACACTTTTTTGTAATTTTCAGAGGACACCTTGTTGAGAAGCAGCCACCTTTAAGAGGAAATCTCATGGTTAAGTCTACAGAGCCCTCCCAAGCCACATGTCCTCCTGTCCCACTAATAATGAAGGGACATAGCACAGAGAAAAGGATTAACACAACATTAAGTGAAATCTTATAGATCTGGCAACCAAAGCTCAGGAGATCCTCCAGGATCTGAGGCACATCATCTAGGGAGCAGCTCATCTCTCCAGGGTTCCAGAGTCAGCTCCATGAATTTTCAGAAAGGCTG